ATAAAAACTATTTTATATATATATATATATAAATAAATACAAAGATTCAACTACAATTATACAAATTCAAAATATAAATAAAAATGACAAAAAAAAATTATTAAAACTAAAATGAAAATCTTGATCAAACTTTGCATAATAGGGCTGCACATTTCATATTTTAATTATAATAACACATTTAATTGCTTGTATTTTTGCTCTCATTTTCAATTTAATAATGAACCTACAGAAAGAGAAAGGAAGAATTGAAATCGCATCATATGACCCCTTTAAATCCCAATCGATGCTGTTTTCAGCTGAAGAATGAACCGTACATATAGTGTACCTTCCATACAATAAATCACAATAGGCTAAGCTCTGTGCGTTGTTACTTTTGATATGAAACAAAGTCTCAGATTTCAAATTCTGTCCATTATATTAGGAAATTCAAGCAATAAATACCATTTTGGCACTCTTTAATGTGGCGTGATAGATCGCTGTAGACACCTCAGAACTGAACTGATCGTCTCTTTCGCTTAACTACTAGTGGATACTCGCCTGTGTGTAATCAAAGGCATTGCAAAAGACTCGTGACAGTTTTATTTTTGTTCTGGAGGCTGATGATCCCGCGCTCTGCTGCCACACTGAACAGGGCTGGGAAATACAGTTACAAATTACAATAGATCATCCTCAGTGTAATCTGTCAAAGTGACGAAAAGCCTTCAGATTTTTCCGTCACTGCTAAAAAAAAATTCCATCAATGACAGAAAATTTTCGGTTAACATTACCTCTGATATATATGTGACCCTGGAGCACAAAACCAGTGTTAAGTCGCTGGGGTATATTTGTAGCAATAGCCAAAAAAACATTGTATGGGTCAAAATTATAGATTTTTCTTTTATGCCAAAAATCATTCGGATATTAAGTAAAGATCAAGTGTATATGACAAGTCTCGGTTAGCCTAACGCAGTACACCTATTTTTGTTCTGGAGGCTGATGATCCCGCGCTCTGCTGCCACACTGAACAGGGCTGGGAAATACAGTTACAAATTACAATAGATCATCCTCAGTGTAATCTGTCAAAGTGACGAAAAGCCTTCAGATTTTTCCGTCACTGCTAAAAAAAAATTCCATCAATGACAGAAAATTTTCGGTTAACATTACCTCTGATATATATGTGACCCTGGAGCACAAAACCAGTGTTAAGTCGCTGGGGTATATTTGTAGCAATAGCCAAAAAAACATTGTATGGGTCAAAATTATAGATTTTTCTTTTATGCCAAAAATCATTCGGATATTAAGTAAAGATCATGTTCCATGAAGATATTTTGTAAATTTCCTACCGTAAATATATCAAAACTTAATTTTTGATTAGTAATATGCATTGCTAAGGACTTAATTTGGGCAACTTTAAAGGCGATTTTCTCAGTATTTTGATATTTTTTTCACCCTCAGATTCCAGATTTTCAAGTAGTTGTATCTCAGCCAAATATTGTCCTATCATAACAAATGTATTCAGCTTTCAGATGATTTATAAATCTCAATTTTAAAAAATTGACCGTTATGACTGGTTTTGTGGTCCAGGGTCACATATATATATATATATATATGTGTGTGTGTGTGTATGTGTGTGTGTGTGTGTGTGTGTATCATAGCACTAACATATTATTGCTCTTTTGTGATTTTGATTGCTTCTATTGTCATCATTTGTAATTCGCTTTGGATAAAAGCGTCTGCTAAATGACTAAATGTAAATGTAAATACTGAATATATCAGTTCTTAAACACTACAAGCAATGTTTCAGGGCTGAAATGACTATAGCTCCAGGTCTCCTAACAGTTACAGGGCATTATAGATCCAGACACACTACGCATCGCGCCAGCATCGGTTAAAAGAGCTGTGATTGAGTTCAGATATTGACCAGCATCTGCATCGGGTCATTAAACTCACAATACATGACAGTAACACACGTCAAACCCCGTCCATCAGCGCTGAGAAACCATCCTCAATCAACACTTCACATGCAAAAAGTAGTTCTGGAATCACTTATTTAACTAATTGATATCTGAGACAAATATAAATCTGTCATCACACTTGACCAATCAGAGGGAATATCTGGACCAAGAAGCCCCGCCCACTGAATGCTGAAAGCTATTATACAGTCTTATGGTGCATCGATGTTAAAGCGTGTGTTGAGGAAGCTTACGCTGCAGTTTTCTGGAGGCACGATCAGCTGTGTGATTTCTCCTCCGTGAACGCAGAAGATGTGCTTCATCTCGCCGGTGAAGATGTCCCAGATGATGACGGAGAAGTCGACGCCGCCGGAGACCAGCGAGCGCTGATCGTAGCGCGGAGAGACCTGGTGTGGGTACAGCAGACACGTCACCTTGTGCCTGTGACCTCTGAGAGTGCGATGAGGAGGCCAGCCTACACACACACACACACACACACACACAGAGACGCAGATCAGTGCTTCATTCTAAATAAAGGAAAATACTCAGAAATGTGCTGGTTGTTGTTAGCATGTTGTTATGGGAGTGTGGGGCAGTGGCATCAAAAAACATTATCCAGTAGAAAACACTGCTGCAGAATACTGTTATAATAATAATAATATTATATTATTAATATTAATATTATATTATATTATATAAATATTTATGTATTGCAGATAATTGTTGCAGATTGCTGCAGATAATGTAATATAATAAATATAATGAAAATATAATGAATGCAACATTAATATAATACTAAAATATTATATTCAAAAATAAATATATTTGATATTAAATATTATAATGACATTTAATAATAAATAAAACACATGTTTATACAAAATAAATAATAATAAAAAAAATTATATTTATATTAAAACCTAAAATGTGTTGCAAATAATATATAACATTGTAAATATAATTTTTGTTATTATGAAATACTAATATCAATAAGACTGTGTCACCCCTGCGCAGCATGTGTTCTCCCTGCAGCAGCTGAACGATGGCCGTCTGTGTAGCAGGAACGAGTACGATGCTGCCGTCTTCTCGTCCGCACACCAGTCGGCCCTGAGACGGGATGTAGACGCTCGCCGTCACCTTAATGGGCTCGTTAGAGCCGGACAGGACGCTCAGCTGGTCAATGATGCCGGCTGGAGACGGCATTAACTTATCAAAGGCCTCCTGCAGACTGATGCTGACCGACTCCTGCAGCTCTGGAGGAGGAGAGAAAAGCCTGTTATGAACATACAGCAGGACATACATGTGTTTCTGTGCTGTTTGAGAACTCTATTGCATTACATGCAGGAGTCAGTATCTGTAATACTACAAGCGGACACAAGAGAGCAGTGTGTATACTGCAGTACTGAACACACACTGCAGAGGGCAACACTGTACTGATGCAAGAGACTTTCAGATGCGTTAAAGCAACCAGAGTCACACTGAACAAATCTACAGCTGTTTGTTATTGAATACTAGCATATTACATCATGCAGGGTATATACTGAATACTGCTTGCTGTTTTTGGGAAATAGTACCAAAGACTATAGAAATACAAAGACGGTTCACTCCTATACCTATGAATGTGAGACACTGCAACGCACAATATGGCGAGATAGTCCCGCCTTCTAAATGAAAGGGACTGTGATAGTACTTTGGATGCCACCATGATTAATTCAACTTTAAAGATTATTATGCTTCATTGTTGTCACATGATCATCTTTTCCATTTTTCATTCGACCTCATTATATGCATGTTTATAATTTTTTATAAAAATTGTTACATTGATGTTTATAATATTGCATTTGTGATTTTTTTTTTAAAGTTACAATATTGTTTAAAATATTCCCGTAAAAAAGGTAAAAATACTGAAAATACTGTTTATAATATCCAGTTTGTGAAAAAAAAGTTGAAAAAATAGTTACATTATTGTTTTTAATATTCAAAGCCTGTTGTAAAAATGTTTAAAATATAGTTACAATGCTGTATTATAATATTCAGTTTGTGGAAAAAAAATTAAAAATATATTTTAATGTTTGTTAAATACAATTAAAAAATATATATATGTTTTCATGTTTATTTTTTGTAATGTCTGAGAAGTATAACATTCAGTTTATGAAAAAAAATAGATTTTCTTAAATGTTTGTTCAACAGAGTTAAAACATTTTCTCATGTTTATTATTTGTAATGTGTGAGAAGCATAACATTAAGTTTATGAAAAAAAATCATTTTTTAATACAGTTTTAAGTAGTAGTAGTATATTTTTATTTAATGCCATGTCAGCATCTTACGTTATTTTCATGGCAAACACAATAAAAAAATACAAGTATAACAAATACAATAAAAACCAGCAAACAAACAAACAAGTTATGTTACACAAGATTTTTACATTAACATGTGATACAAATTCTAAAACTTTTTCTGGCAAAATTATACTAAACTCTTTAGGTGAGTTCACTTCATAAAAGAGTTTTCTACATAAATTAGAAGCTGGACAGTCCAATAAAACATGACCCTGGAGCACAAAACCAGTCATAACGGTCAATTTTTCAAAATTGAGATTTATACATCATCTGCTTTCCATTGATGTATGGTTTGTTAGGATAGGACAATATTTGGTCGAGATACAACTATTTGAAAATCTGGAATCTGAGGGAGCATAATATTGAGAAAATCGCCTTTAAAGTTGTCCAAATTAAGTTCTTAGCAATGCATATTACTAATCACAAATTAAGTTTTGATATATTTACAGTAGGAAATTTACAAAATATCTTCATGGAACATGATCTTTACTTAATATCCTAATGATTTTTGGCATAAAAGAAAAATCAATAATTTTGACCCATACAATGTATTTTTGGCTATTGCTACAAATATACCCCAGCGACTTAAGACTGCTTTTGTGCTCCAGGGTCACAAATATGTTTGACAGAAAGGGGATAATACAGTTTTTTAAAAAAATTCTGTTTTTTGTTGTTGTTTTGTAATTTGTGAAAAACGTTTAGATTTAATGTTTGTTAAATCTAGTTTTGCCCAAAGTGTTGTAGAGAGCGGTGTACCTGCGGCGGAGGACAGCGGCTGTAAGGGTGACGTCTCTGGGATGCTCCACACCGTCAGTCGCCCCGCAGAGTCGCCCTGGATCAGGAGTTTGTGGAACGGCTCTCTCCGTCCGAAGAAGAAGCGCGTCACGGGAGGACAAATCAGGAGCTGCAGGAGACAGAAACATCAACATCTGCAAACATCCAGAGCTCCAGACAGAGCATCAACCTGAGCCTGCTGGTGTTCATCTGACCGCTGAAGCGTCTATGAGCTGCTGCTGAACTCGGAGCGATGTCGATGTGTGCATGGAAGCTGTTAAACATGAGCGTCATCAGGGAAATCATCAGCTCATGCAGGATCATGGCTGAGGAACAGGACATCAGCCATTTCAGTGATGATACAGACATACTGACGGAAAATGACACAAAACGGAGTTGGTTTTTCACCAAAATGAGTTACAGCTGATTTAAAGCTAGCGTTCTTCAAACTGGGGTCTGGGGACCCTCAGGGGCCCATAAGGGAGTGATAGAGGGTCTGTGGAAAAGTTTTGAGAACCACTAAAAAAAAAAACTATAAAAAATAAGATTGGAATAAATAAATAAAATTGATAAAAATAGATGAAAATGCATAAATAATGAGATAAAAATAAATGATAAAACAAATTTAATATTAAAAAGTAGATTAAAACAAATAAATAAATACAAAAATAAGAAAGAAGACTAGGTTAAAACGCATAAATAATAAAAAGTAGATTAGAATAAATAAATTGATTAAAGTACATTTAAAAATCAACTAAAATAAATACATTAATTAAAACATTAAAAAATGATTTAAATAAGTAATAATAATTTGATTAAAATGCATAAATTATAAAAAGTTCATTTAAATAAATAAATAACAGATTTAAATAGATGAAAATAAATGAAAAAAACAGACTAAAATGCATAAATAATACATAGAGATTAGAATAAATTAAAACGTGACAAAATGCACAAAAAAAATAGAATAAAATACATAAATAATAAAAAATTGATTAAAATAAATAAACTAAAATAAGTAAATACTAAGATTTAGAATAAAATAAACAAATAAATAACACATTTAATATATAAAAATAAATAATACCATTCTATTGTGGGTAGAAACATGATTTAAATAAATACAAATTAAATGTTTTCAAATATAATATTAATATATATTTATTAAATATATATATATATATATATACATATATATATATGCAATATTAATTTCACAGTATAAACTGATCTTTATACATGAAAATATACAGTTGCCTTATAAATTTTAGGTCCCTCGGATGATCATATTTGGGGGTTTATGTCATCTAAAAGATTGAAAAAAATGTTTGTTTTAATAATCCTTCATATAAATTACTTAAAAGTGTGAAATGATCCATCAAATAAAATCCCTGTGGATAAAAATATTCCATCCCCAACCTACAATTTTACATTATATAAATAAATTGATTGCTTTGTTTCCCGTTGTTTTATAAGCAACTCATTTTTAAAACACAGGAAAATCAGTACTGCTATTGAAATACTCTAAATCATTAAGCTAAACATGCATTATCACTTATACACTGTGATATATGCATGGTCACAAAAAGTATGCTAAAAGCAATAATAATATAAAAAAGACTGATGAAAAATTCACAATTAGGTTCTGTGCTTATTATTCTGGTGTGAAAAACTGCAATTTTTAAGAGATTTTACATTCGTTCATCCAAGATGTTTCAATGTAAAATTCCTCTTGGTGTTTTACCATGTCATGTGTCTGAAGTGGCATGAATTGAAGTGGAAATGACCATTTTAAATTGATCGATGCATCATACAATATTGATGTATGTCCTCTGAATTTTCAAAGCTAAATCCTGTATTGAGAACAGTGCAAAGTTCCACCATTGAGCTTTTCTTGATAAACACACGCTCACGACACACACGTCCAAACCCACACGCTAAAACATGCTGAATACACACCCAAAAAACACACAGAAAGATCAGCTGAAGACAACCAGAGAGCGACACACTTCATATAACTCTAATAATATTACATTTTAGAATTTAAAAAGACCTATGGAAGCCCTTTTCTGCCATTGAATAAAAAATAAAAAGGTGATTGTGACTTTTTTCTCATAATTGGGAGTTTCCATCTCACAGTTCTGACTTTTATCTCAGAAATGCGAGTTATAAAGTTAGAATTGAGTGATATAAAGTTACAATTCTGAGAAATAGAGTCAGAATTGCATGATATGAACTGCTTTTTTTCTCGCAATTGCGATAAATTTTCGC